GCGTTACAATGAGGTAGAATACTGTATGAAAATACATGAAAACGATACAAGGACTGTATAGTACTGTGTACCATTAGAAACGGTAGAAAGACAGCACAGGGCTGTAAGAAAACACTTAAAAACAGTGCAAAGACGGTAAAAAAAACCCTATGAAAACACTTGTAAACGGTATAAAGACGGTATAGTTCTGTACAAAAACACTTGACAACTGTACAAAGACGTAATATTACTATGTGAAAACGCTTGAAAATAGTGCAGAGACAGTACAATACTGTGTTAAAACACCTGAAAATGGTATGAAGACAGTATAGTACTGTATGAAAACACCTGAAAATGGTATACAGACAGTAAAATGCTGTGTGAAAACACCTAAACACGGTACAAAGACAGCATACTTGAAAACGGCAGAAAGACGGTACAGTACTGCATGAAAACGGTACGACAACGAGCCGGTACAATTACTAAAATAATTTAGAACGGTACCAAACGGTACGCTGACCTGGTAACATAGAAACTATATGAATGGATTTTCATTGTTTATACCCATTGTAACTGAACTTTATAAGGAATACGTTAACTCGGTCATAGTTGAATTAAAGAAAAACACTAAATTTTAATAACTGCATGTGCTGAGACTCTAGGGAGCGATCTTCACAAGGTACAGACACGAAGAGTTGATTGATGGACGCTTAAAACTGTACGAAACGGTATCACGAGTGACAGCAACTATCATAAACGATACAGTACACAAAAATACGGTTGAAAACGACGTCCGAATTGTGGTATGTTTGTTTCTCTCTTTAACGAGAACAGAGCCGTTGAATAATTTTTGGCTTTAACTCTGGGTTTTTATTTTTTTTTGTTTTTGTTTTTTTTGCACGAAGTTATATTCTGTACAGTGCAAAGCAATCCCTTCACCGATCGTGATCATTACCCGATAAGTCTTGGCAGAGTTTATTCCAACATATTACTGCATAAGATATGGGGGGGGGGGACGAACTAAAGGAAATTAGGCAAACAAAGGGAGTGATGTTCCTTGAATATGATTCAACTCGCCGGGTTTCTCTCACTTATTATCAGACGGGCTGTTTATCTAACTATAAACACGTACATGAATAAAGACCTGCATTGCCACATAACCAAAACATATGAATCAATAGTTATGTCTATGATTATTCTGGGACTAGTGAAAGGAGACCAAACTATTTAACTCACCGGAAGTGATTGTTCGGAATCATAATTTTGGGACTCTTCGTCTGTCTGCGAGACCGATTCCAGAATTTTGTTTCAGGCAATAAAATAGAGCACTTCTTTCCGATGACCGGTGGTTTTATCCAAATGAATTCACGAAATCACACCTACTAAATTCGTCTGAAAGTCCCAAACATTGCACACAGGTGTCTTGTTTTTGCTCTTCTCCCACAATTACATATAGGTATGTGGACTGCTGTGTAATCTATTCCTTACTAAACCCGCCTTGTCTGTCTCTAGGTATTAAAAGTCACCTAAACTTTAAAAGAGAATTCAAATCCACATTTTGTACTAAATTTAATTACTCCCTGGCGATTTTGATTTTAATTTCCATACTAACTCAAAAGTTGACATGCTCTAGTGTATTAGGGGTGACAGGCGTTTTCTTGTCGACCCTAAGGCAGGGCCATAAAATTTGTCAAGAGATCGGCGAAAAATTGGCTGAGAATAAAAACTAAAGGACATTGTCAAGGGAATCAAGAGCGCGGCTTTAGGCAGTAAATCTCCCGTCGGAGGCCGTTTTAAGGCTACACTTACCGAGTGATACTCAACACCACGCATACAGCTACGTAAAAGTTAATTGGATTTTTTCAACGTTTGAAACTGATATATATATATATATATATATATATATATATATATATATATATATATATATATATATATATTACACGAGGTCTGTCAAGAGTATATGTGTAATGGTAATATCATGCATTTCCTGCATGCTTATGTAAATAATAATAATAATAATAATAATGATGATGATGATAATAATAATAATAATAATAATAATAATAATAATAATAATAATAATAATACTAATAATAATAACAGCAATAACAACTCACATAAGCAAGGTGTAAATCAGAAAGTGTGCGTATTTCATGACCAATATACTTTGGTATCGCCCCCCCCCAATCTTAACTAGCAATTAAAAAAAGAACCGTGATTGTGGCAATATTACAAGTTTCATGCATCTGTGCGCGCATGTGAGTGCTCGCGCGCGCGCGTGTGTGTGATTTAGATTATTAAGGTAGATATTACAATTTTTTAGACATATCGCTACGATGCCTACAGTGTGGCAGTTTATGGCGATGTCGAGTACTGGGTATTCATGCCGCAGACGTGTCACATCATGACCCACCCATTCACATTATCCAGACACCAGGCCGACCAGTCCTAACACTAACCTCTTAACGCTGAGCGCCAAGCGAGGCAGCTGTTATACTATTTTTATAAGTCTTTGGTATGACTCGGCCTTGGATCAAACCCACCACCTCCCGCATCCGAGGCGGACGCTCAAACCACTAAGCTACCTAAGAGGTCTTTCACGTATCAAAAACATGATGAAGTATGTAACAATTTGTATACCACAAATGTCATGTAAACTGGTTGAGTCTTATGTGACACGTTTCTCATATTGTTTCGAATTTCATTGATAGTAAAAATTACACTGAATTGCGCTCTTCATTTAACAGAAGATTAGTAAAAAGGAGAATCGCTTTAATAACAAAACAAAACAAAATTCACAACAATTAATTCGAACACCCAACCAAGAAAGCCCATTGAAATGACACTACTGAAAACCACAAGGGAATGGGATTTCTTTTACAAAGACAGACAGAACAATAGACAGAACGACAGATAGATACATAAATAGATAGATATATAGGTTGGTGGGTAGGTAGGTAAATAGGTAGGTAGATAGATAAATTGGTAGATAGAGAGATAGCTAGATAGAGGGATAGATGGATGGATAGATAGAAGCATACAGAATGATTTTTAATAGTTTGATTGTTGAAACTAAACCCTCTCTTCCTAACTATCTATCTATCTATCTATCTATCTATCTATCTATCTATCTATCTATCTATCTATCTATCTATCTATCTATCTATCTATCTATATATATATATATATATATATATATATATATATATATATATATATATATATATATATATATATATATAAAGAATACAAATCATATGGCGAATAACAACCCTTTCAAGCGTACTGGATCCACCAAGGGATCACGTGTGTCAGGGATTGATTAAAATAGATGCAATAAACTGACGACGAACAGTACGAAACTAGTAACTAACTATCCTAAGCGCTTTCGACTCTTAATGAGTCTTTTTCAAAGACAAATACAAAACATATACAACAAGCAAATAAACACAAAAACGTTGTGTTTGTAAACCTCTACAAGGCTGTCTCCACATGTGTTAAAACTATAAATACAACCAGCTTGTATAGAGTAGTTGCGGAAACTGAAAACGATGTATAATTCCCTAAAAGTCTACAAGCCAAAGCGACATCTATTTTTACTTTTTGAACATTTATGTAACGCAGATTATATCCCGGATATTTGATTCTATACTGTTATTTTTATAGTAAAAATTGAAGGATAATAAGAAGATTTAGAAAATGTTAAATTCTACTAGTGCATAGTTTTCATTTTCTAGTCTTCTTGGTTTAGACCGCTTGGTTTCAATGTTTTAAGGCGGCGTATCCAGTATGATTCCTTTTCCTTCCTGGTTTCGGAACTCCAGCTGTGGTTGTTAGCAATAGCGATAAGTATTATATCACTGAAAGTGTGGCCAGGGGAGGAGAAGTGTTCTGCGACCGGGCTTCTGTACAGCTTTTTTGTCATCCAATCAGATCTATGAAGGTTTATCCTTTTGTGTAGCTTTTTTGTGTAGCTTGTGCACTAGTAGAATTTAACATTTTCTAAATCTTCTTATTATCCTTCAATTTTTACTATAAGAATAACCGGTATAGAATCCATTATCCGGGATATAGTCTGCGTTACATAAATGTAGAAAAAGTAAAAATAGATGTCGCTTTGGCTTGTAGACTTTTAGGGAATTATATACCGTTTTCAGTTTCCGCAACTAGTCTATACAAGCTGGTTGTATTTATATAGTTTTAACACATGTGGAGACAACCATGTAGAGGTTTACAAACACAACGTTTTTGTGTTTATTTGTTTGTCTTATATATGTTTTGTATTTGCTTTTGAAAAAGACTCATTAAGAGTCGAAAGCGCTTAGACTAGTTAGTTACTAGTTTCGTACTGTTCGTCCTCAGTTTATTGCATCTCTCTCTCTCTCTCTCTATCTATCTATCTATATATATATATATATATATATATATATATATATATATATATATATATATATATATATATATATATATATATATATATATATATATATATATATATATGGCTACTGCTAATGCTTCAGTGAGAACATATAGCCTTCCAGATTTGAACTTCTTTGTAAATATGGCGACAATGCCTAACATTATTTGTGTTTAATTATTGAATTGGTCATGAATCATAGTGACTAGAACAGCATAGTGAGTCATTGCGTTTTATTGGCTGAGTTTTGGCTTATAATGATACTTGTTTAATTAAAATTTCTGTTTATCTTTGATAAACCTTCAGCTTTTAATCTAGGTGTTGCTGAGTGTAATTTATATGTATTATCAGTCAGCCTCGTCTTGAATTGCTTGACCCAGTGATACGGTAACAAAACTCATCCAGAAAACAAATTGTTAATGCTAAGCTAAAGAAAACAAATTGTTAATGCTAAGCTAATCAATACGTTTGATTATCATTAATCAACCAGAATATTGATGGATTGTGCGTTAGGAATGGGTCTGTTAAGCATGGAGTTAAAGAACATTATCTTGACACGAAAGCGGTGGAATTTCAGGTCATCTTCTGCATGGTAATAAGGAACAAAAGAATATGTCGTCGCCATATTTAATTTGAATATTTTGTTTCACTACTGAACACCTTATCAATCAATGTTGATGTAGAGTTAATATGAAGTCATTGTTTACAGAAAACAAGGGCCTCCGTGTTCGATGATAAGGTCAAATCTTTTCTCAAAGCTTATTCTTCTGTTTTTGTCTTGCACTCACGTGACTCAAGGATCCTCCCTTATGCCTTGGAACTTAAGTTTCAAACATATTTTCTGAAACGGACTCGTTGAAATGCTATCCAAGGAGAGTATCCCAACCTAGCAAAGCTTATTTTACAGATTAACACGCAAGTGTATTATGTTTTGTCTTTTCGAAATATATATATATATATATATATATATATATATATATATATATATATATATATATATATATATATATATATATATATATATATATATATATATTTCTGTGTGTGTGTATGAATGAACAGTAAAAAAGAACGAGTGGCAGAGTGGTGAAAAGTGTTCGTCTTACCAACTCATTACCATCTCACCATTGTTAGCGTGCGGTAGTCTCGGGACCAGAAAATGTGAGCATGCGAAAGCTTGCCAGTAGCTTCCCGCGCGTCGGCGGTTCTTCCTGAAGTTTACCCACATTCCTCCACCAAGTATGCTGGCTGCCATGTATGGCTAGTTTATCGTATGCTGAAAAATGACGTTAGACAAACCACAAGAAAACGGTCAGTACGAATAATTCCTTAAACAGATATTGACAATGACCGCAATAAGAAAATGGGCCAATATAAGAAGTGGAAATATCATATATGGAGTTACCGTCCTTACCGTCGTGCTACCACCATTGTACCAATATCCTTAGAATCATTCTAGCATAAAACTCTCGTCCTTACAGTCTTGGAAACAACATCATAACAGCAATGCTATGATAGATGGAACCACTATCTTTACAGTCATTCTACCACAGAGCTATCGTCCAAACTGTCATACCACCATGAAAGTACCGTTCCTACAGTCATCCATCCACCATGGAACTACCCTTCTTACAGTCACCCATCTGCAATGGAACTACCGTCCGCTATGGTACTATCATCCTTACAGTAGTGCTATCATGTAGGAGATGCCTAGCTTTTATTTTTTTAGGCAAAGTATGATTTGTTAAAAGATTTCAAATGGCATCAAAATAAATTGATGATTCTGTTTATATTGCGACCTTTACCAACTAGAATCTATGCTGCCAACCATTGCTTATTTTCAAACTTCCTGTTACGCTGGCGCCCTACAGTTTCGTATTTTGCATAGGATTAACGAGAGAACGTATTTTCCAGGTTTACCTTACTCGTTATCCTGACAGCTTAAATAAAGACATTGTACATCATAGTTATTGTTAAAGAAACTTTTAATTCTTCTAGTTTGGTGTATGGTTGACGAGTGTAATTTAAGTTACGGAGTATACAGCTTGGCGTTACTTCAAATGTGCACTTATCAAAAATGTGATAGCACTGTTTGGTCATTTTCACATCCTGGACTTTTGCGATAAATTGTGGTAAAAACGAGCCTATAACGTATTTCACTTTTATGTATTTATTTTGCCATTCATTCATTTCACTTCCAGAAGCTGGTATTGTTTAGTATGGCAATGATCATTTTACCTATTTAGGAAGTGCAAAATACATTTACTTTCGAGAACTAAGAAACATTTTGTTTGGGTAGGTAATACACAGCTTTCACAAGTAAAATATCCACTGATATAACACTATATATGAAAGTAACATAGAGGTATGTGTCCACATCCTTTATGCAAATAATTTCATTTCGTACGGGTCACTCCCTTAGAAGCGTGTAATATATGTAGGGCGCCTCCTATGTGAACGATGTCACTCACTAACCAATCATTGAGTCATAAATCTTACTAGTTACTGGCCTAATTTATTGGCTCGACAACTAAGGCGCGTAAAAGTAAAGACAGCCATATTCTCAACAAAACATTTGGGTGGATAGAACTTTGAAAGCATTTCGCATGAGTGCATAATCAATTTTATATTTGTCCCTTAATGAATAATATAATCAATTTTATATTTGTCCCTTAATGAATAATATAATCAATTTTATATTTGTCCCTTAATGAATAATATAATAAATTTTATATTTGTCCCTTAATGAATAATATAATCAATTTTATATTTGTCCCTTAATGAATAATATAATCAATTTTATATTTGTCCCTTAATGAATAATATAATCAATTTTATATTTGTCCCTTAATGAATAATATAATCAATTTTATATTTGTCCCTTAATGAATAATATAATCAATTTTATATTTGTCCCTTAATGAATAATATAATCAATTTTATATTTGTCCCTTAATGAATAATATAATCAATTTTATATTTGTCCCTTAATGAATAATATAATCAATTTTATATTTGTCCCTTAATGAATAATATAATCAATTTTATATTTGTCCCTTAATGAATAATATAATCAATTTTATATTTGTCCCTTAATGAATAATATAATCAATTTTATATTTGTCCTTTAATGAATAATATAATCAATTTTATATTTGTCCCTTAATGAATAATATAA